CTTAACTTTAATGATCTCAAAGTACATGTCATAACTTTTTTTTTCTTTGTGAAGGAAGCATGAATTAGGACTAGTCTTGTTAAAACCAATTAACTAAAAAATGTATTAACCCATACATAGTCAAATCTTTTTGTCAATATTCATTTTCACACTTTATTTTGGCCCATGCTAGACACACAGAACAGGAATATCCAAAGAAGTCAATGCTGACATTAAAGGGCACGATGTAAACCACTCAGATAATTAAAGAAACCCTTACATAACACAGCTTTAAACCACCTTGCACAGACTATGCAAAAAAGGTTCAAGCCAAAGGCAGCCTGTAAAGCAGTAATTGTAAAATCCACAGAAGTCAGTGGAAAAACATTAATAAGACTCTGTAAGAATACCAAGGCTTCACATTTACACTATTATCACCATCTTAACATGGAAATTAGGCTAAGAACAATACAAGTTCTTAGAAATCAGGCTAACGTTAATGTCTTTGCACACCCTTCCAGCAGAGAGAATTCATATTAACATGTACTCAATACTAATCACTAATAGACTGTGTTCCCTTAATAAGAAAGCAATCTTGGAGACAGGACCTGCCCTCTTTCAAAACAAGCAAACAGAGCAAGACTAATTTTATGTTTTCCTTAGCTAGATTGCCATGCTATGCCCCTTGTAGCTTGCCTCAATACACTTAGCATGTTCCTCTAAATCTTTTGCAAAGTGTTTGAAACCACTTGCACAGTATTTGGATGGCAGCTTCACAGATCCACGTTTGCATGCACTGCACATGCAGTGCCACGCAGAAATGAGTAAAAAATCTGTCATGACTACTTGCCACAATTTCAGTAACTGACTTCTGACCAGTGACTTTGCATTTATTCCAGAACTTGCCAAATCCACAGCACTGAAAAATTCACAATTCGCCCAAAGTATGTGGATCTTTTGCTCTCTTTGGGTTGCACCTTTGAATGGACAGAAGTCTATTTCCTCAGTGTGATGATACATTAAAGCACAAAAGGGAACTCCTGAAGCATGTAAAGTGTGAAAATTTCAACTAAATTCATGAAGCTATGGGAATTCGTGCCAAAGAGTTTGCCTATGCTGGCTCAGAATTTGCTGCTGAAGATGATATATATTTGCTAACCTAAGAATACATTTTCCACTGTCCAGCTACTAGTTAAGAAGATTAATGACCGCTTTGTAGTTCCAATTAAACTCCTTTCTCACCAAGAGGGACCAAGTAAGTTTTGATTTCAGAAGTACTGCTTAAGAAAGAAGACCAGGGCTGCATAACACTGACATTTTATTAGAATTCATTTGTAACAAATGGAACTTGTGTCAGCAAAGAACTGATTTTCATACAGACTTTCTTTCGCCACCAATGTAACGAAGTAAGAAAATAAAAAGCACGCCTTTCATTCTGTAAAACATTTACGCGTACTACTAATTAGAGGTAATTGTATCTTTTTTAACAAGCCATTTTACAAGGTAATTTTTTAAATTTTTCAGTCTATGCATCCAAAACAAGAGCAAATAACACAATTTTTTATTATCTTTGTAAAGACACTCCAAGCTTGAATGGCAAAGCCACATAATGGATGGTTATGATGAGACCTGCAGCCTTCTGATATCTGTGGAGTATCAGGGCACCAAGAAAAAAAAAAAAAAAGAAAAAAGAAAAAAAAAGGAAAAGAAAATAAGAAAATAGGAAAACAAAGAAAAATAGGAGAGAATAAAAGGAAAAAAAAACAGTTGCATTTTTTTAGTCATTACAAACATCTTTTTTTTCCTTTTTACATGTTCTGTGTCATTTAAATACACACAAGTGGATTTTATAAGCAGTTTCTTACATATGGGTTCAAGTTATAACATTATTGGGTGTAGAATCAATAGGGCAGTGCATAGTACAAAGGTACATATAGAAAGTGCAAATCTCCCTAGAGGGCCACGCCTTCCCCCAGCCATTCTCTCCACTATCTAACCACTCAAATAATTGTTAAAAGAGCTAAATTAAACTTCTGTATAAATCATTTTTATATATTTTGTGGGTTTTCTTCCCCCACTGCAACTAATTACAAAATTAGACATAACTACATATATAAATGTAAATAATAGCACCATACTGGTTATGCCCATGAAACCAATTTTAAGCTTTGAAATGTATGATGTATGTGGACAAAGATGCTCACAATTTAAATTAATTGTAGAATGACTATATATAAGAATACAGAAAGTGGAATGCACATCAATGATGCTAAAAGTTATCTTAAAAAACATAAAAACTAAAAGGAAGATTTAGTTATACAACAATTTTCCTCACAAATTGGCTCTGCTTCCCCATCCCCCCCCTTAATTTTTTTTTTGGAGCTTGCAAGACAGTCTGCTAGGGAGAATGCTTTGTTCCTTTTTTGATTGTTTTTCTGATTCCCTGCATTTGAATTGAAGAACATGACCATACCACATAACCTTTCACCTCAATAGTTACTTTACAAATAAAGAAGAAAAAGAAACATAGTGCACATTCTTCTCTGTTTTAAATGTAAGTTACAGAATCTCATTCTGAGGTAGCCTTCTATAATACTTCTATTCCATATATATATATTTATATTTTTGTGGGTTTTTTTGTGGGTTTTTTTTTTTTTTTTTTTGGTGTTTTTTTTTTAGCCTTTACAAAAGTGCTCAAATACAATGCTTGCTAGAGTTTGGTCTTTCATCTTTTTCTTTCTGCTAGTAATGGCAAAAGTAGAAGAAGAAAAAAAGTTGAGGTCACATTGACAAGCCATACCAATGCTCCTATATGAAATCTGAAAGAAAGAATTCCTTTGATACTCATGTACTGACAATGGTAGAAGTCATGATGGAAATCAGGGTCAATGTAAATGGCATCGTATTAAGAGTCTCAAAAAGTACTTTGTGCTGTTTACAGAATTTTCTTTGTTCCCTGGAAAAAAAACTAGTGTCATTTTCAAATATATCCTGTGGGTCAGTCTTGGTAGCCTTACAGGAACCCTCCTACTGAAAGCAATGGTTTGACTTTAGCAATCTGTTGACACAAGTGAATGAGCAGGACTTGGTTGGACCAAAAAAAAAAAAAAAAGAAAAAAAAAAGCATGCGCACTACTAATGTCAACTACTGTTACTATACTGCTACATCTCTGCAATGGTAACGCTATAACCAGTGACACACCAATGGGTTTGAAAAGACAACGAGAAATAGATCTTTAATTTGTGGGCTGGTCTGTTACTGGAAATATGGAAAGATAAAGGGCCTTGACTACCTACGTGTTTTGGGTTATCATTTATTACCATCCATATTTGATTAGAAACTGGAAATGCATCTTTTTCAAAATTGGCTGATACATGTATTAAAATGTTTGGAAAGAATAACAGACATATGAACAAACTGAACTAAATACAAATGAAGGCTAACTTAAAGAAATGCTATTTAAAATAGGCATCAAATATAAGGCACTCTAAATGTAAAATTAAAATAAAACCCAGCATCCCCAAACAATGCTGTACGCCACAAAACGTTTGATTTCACAGAGCAATGTGTGTTTGGCTTTGCCCTGTTACATACGATAAATGTAAATTATATAGCGCATACTATAGACAGTATACTATTGAATACAACTTTAAAACATCTTAATACCTAGTATATTACAACATTCTCCCCTCCTAAAGGGATATGCACTGACCTTTCCCACATGCACACCTCCTACATTTAATAATATGATTTCTTATTGCACTATAGTGTTACAAATATTGAACTCACTGGAAGCCTAAATCACATACTCTGTGTGTGTGTGTGCATATGTGTGCATGTGTGTCTGTTCAAGTGGCAATGTGGACAGAAATATTATTTGGGATAGAGATGACGTTCAAATATCAATGATGTGCATTCCTCACTTCCCTTTGAAACAGAAGTTTGTGGACCTTGGAAATGCAGAGATGATCAAATAGTAGTTTAATATAAAGGTAGTGTGCTGAAAAACTTTCCCAATGCTTTGATAAATGCAGGTATGGAAGATTGGTATGTTTATGTGTCTGTGTGAATATCTACCTATCTGTATCTCTGTAAATATACAGAGAGTTAGACAAGGGTAGACAGTAATACATACAGATACTTATATATATAGAAAGAGAGAGGGTGTGGGTGTGCATGTGCATATGTGTGCATGTGTGTATGTGTGTTAGCAGCATCTTTATACTTTGCGCCTCCCTGTTGATTCCAAAAGAAACCAAAAAGCCCCATTTTGATTTAACTGATTACAATGAATATTTTCTTAAAGAAAAATAAACCAAAGCAAGCTGTAAAAGTAATATCTAACAAGACTGTGGTACTGTAGATAAATATAGGACTGCACAAAAATGTGCAAATTTTCAAATTATTTAACATTTCTACAGCACGATATTACAGATAACAGTTCTACAGCTTAAAAAAAATCTATAGTTTTTAAACAAAAAGTTTAACAGTTATGCAACCTTTAATTCACTTCATCGAATGATAAACTCTTGTTAAAAAAAGGAAAAAGTTACACAGTTAAAAATGAAGCACAGGTCAGCAGTATCTTTACAATACTAAAAAACTAAATCAAGGACTTTCTTTTTAAACATTCCCACATTTTCCCTAAAGTGTTATCATGAGCAGTAAGATGGGAAGGGGTGATGTTGAAGTAAAGAGTCCGCTTTGTTTGAGAAGCCATGACCCAACCTTTTAACAAACATCTTGCACTGAACTGCAGTTCTCTCAAAATTCCTCTTTGCAAAAGCATGCAATCCTGAACAAGATGATCATTCTTTCTGATTAATTTCCTCTTCCCTTTAACTTCAACCAATGTCGAACCCTTGAGGTATCTGTAAACGAGATCCTTCAGACGCCTCAGTGGTCAGGATTCTTTTATTATGGTTAGGTTATTAAACTGTGAATTCTTGGTCCACATGGAATAGGGTTTTTTTGTTGTTGTTGTTGTTTTTGTTCTATATATCCCCATTATTTTTGTCTGTTTTTTATTTTATATATCCCCAATAATCGCTCCTTAGCTAAGAGTTAAGAAGTACTTCTAAAGCACATCGTATGGCTCAGAAGCGGCTCTCTGGATCTTAAAGGGCCTGCAATAAAAATCCACGATGGGTTTTTATGTTGCATAGTGATCAAAGCTGCCCAGATACTCCAGTGCGGCTCGATAGCAGAACTGGTATTGATCCTGGAGAAAGATAGAAAACAAAAGCATCAAAAAGCCAGCTTGTTGGTTGGTTTCTGTTTTCTTTCAACTAAGAGTGAATACTTTGTGGCTACAGACAAATATACCACAGAGGCATCTGCAGTTCAGCAATATTCTCTTGCTGACATAAACAGAAAACCAGTCTGAGTTGCAACAGATGAAGATAGACGCTCATTTAATGCAGTAACATTTTCCACAGAATGCAGCTTCTTTTTGTACAGAGACTATATACCCATCTACTGCCTGTTTGTTGTTCTGGATTAATATAACATCAACATAAAGCTTCGTTCTCATGGGACCATGCCAAGATGCTCTTCCCCCATGTATTTGAAAATAAGTAGCAAAATATCCAATTAATTCTATAGCAAATACAACACATAAAGTGACAAAACCCATCACAGCCTTAATATGGGATGCTGTATGGAAAACCACCAGGTTAAAAATCATGTTAAGGAAGCAAAGGGAATCCCAAGCTTTCAGTAATATAGGCTTTGATGAAGATGTGAAGATATCACAGCCTGTGGCAAAAAAAGAGAGAAATATGCAACTAAAGCACCTTATTAACATGAAACAGATTGCATTTCAACCTATGCCTAGAAGCGGAGAGAAGTTCCGTGTGGTGAGAGATTCGCTTATGCCTCTCGTGAATGCAACATTTGGCATTTCATGTTATTCTTACCCCCACACAGCAGTCTTTTTGCACATTTATGTAATATTGCACACATATACTAAAATGGCATGCCTGTGTATTCATTTGCAACTGCCACTCAGGGTTTAAATGTTAAAAAAGAAAAAGAAAAAGAAAAAGAAAAAGAAAAAGAAAAAGAAAAAGAAAAAGAAAAAGAAAAAGAAAAAGAAAAAGAAAAAGAAAAAGAAAAAGAAAAAGAAAAAGAAAAAGAAAAAGAAAAAGAAAATAAATTGCTTCTGAAAGCCACCCAAAATATCAAGGTCTTCTTATTTATCTGGTAGTGCTATGTGGTAACCACACGGGTTATACTTGTTAAGATCACACTTAAAATTCTTTTGGAGACCAGGAAACTCATCAGACAGATAGATACTTGCTTCAATGTAGTGGCATGATCACTAATAGTTTTTTTCTGCTTCCTGTTGGAACACAGAATGCATTAGACATATGCACAAATTTTAAGTGTATGTGTGGTCCACATGGAGTTCAAGTGCTTTGTTGAATAAGGATTAGATTTCCTGGCAGTTTACACTACTGAATGAGATATTTGTTTTCCACAGAATCCTGAAAGCAATGAGTACACACCACTTCTACTTTCAGCAGGGGGGATGAAGGGGAACATACAGAAATAAGTCAAAGTAGAAGAAGGGAGAACATACTGCATAGCTGAACTCTGTATTTGTCAGGTAGGCTCCAAGAAGCACAGTTTTTCTGTATACTGTAGTTATTTCTTGGAACAAAAATGACAGAAAGCAGTCATTTTTCATTTTGGTTATCCAGAAGAATGATGGTAATGAAAAAGAAATGGAATTAACTCTTCAGTTTGGTCACAGTGTTTACTTGGTTAACTGACAAGATTAAAAATAAGTATCTTTATTTTTCAAGTTTTTCAAGTGTTTATGAATTTACCTTCTTAAAAATAAAACTACCCAGCTTTTATTGAACAAGTTTAATTTTCTTGTGGAGAATGGCAAACTCTGGGGAATCATATTAAATTTCACAGACTGTAATTTAAAGGCCAGTGTCAATCAAACTATACTAGAAAAATGTATGACCTAAAATGTTTCTCTTCTCTTGCCCCTTTGCTTGGTTCTCCCAACCTATTGGCTCCAGCTTAGTTCCAATTCCTCACTCAGAAATTTAAGTAGAAATTAAGTACAACTGAAAATGTTTACGTATTCTTTATAACATGACACAGTTCCAAGCATCCAGACCCAGGAAATCAGCTGATACTGTTTATTCATTTCCTTATTTCTCTATGGCACTCTTGCTAGCACAGAAAGTATTCACACTATAGTTTTCCTGAATGCTGAATTTACAATTACGATTTTCAAGCCAAACAGCCACTTGCTTGGTGACACAAAGTCAAGAAAACCATGAAAATAATACAGTGTTAATCTGAAGCCATGAACAACACTGCTCCTGGACTAAAAAAATCAGTGGATCCACCTGCAGAAACAATTTACCTCCTTCTTTATTACCACGTTTCTGCCAGGAAATAAAATTACAAATAAAACCGGGTAATGCTTCTTGGGAAATGGTTTTCCTCAACTACCATAATTTAGGATCCACTACTGAAATGACTTTTTCTTCCTCAGCCTGCAGCATCTACTGCTCTAACAGGAAATAGTCTTTGCAGGACCTTTATGGCAGGTTTTAGACTGTAGTCCTATAGTTACTATGACTTAAGATACAAATGTAAGCACATTTTATACAGTCTCTATCTCTTCATTTTTTGGCTGTGGAAATATCCCTTCTTTTCCATCACCATTGTATATGGGTATTGTTTTCCTCACCTCTGTCTGTACCATGGCTGGCCGTTGTGTCCTTAACATTTTGACAGTCTGGAAGATATCTACAACACCTTCGTATCTCATTCTTTCTAACACAATGCTCAGGGTTATGAATACTCCAGTCCTTCCAACACCAGCACTGTTGGGGAAAAAAAAAAAAAAAGGAAAAAAGGAATGTTAATTGACAGTTAATGCCAAAAGAATTGGCTGACAAATTATCTGTGGTTACAAGACACCATATGTGTACAGATTTCTATATGAGGAAAAGCTCACTAAGCAAAATTCCACAGCAAACTACCACGTTGCATTCAGAAGAATAATTGCGCTCCAGCAAACTTCACATGCTACTATACTTCCTGACCCTCCAGTCTTCATTACAAAGTGATTTGGTTTGTTCATCCAGATATACAGTAATCAGTGTATGGTGAAACAAAATGAGAAAGTTTGTTGCCATTGATCTACACCGGAAATGACAAGAGAAAGATGCCAAAATGTATTTTCCTGCTTTACTTTAGCTTGTTCACGTATATGCCCTGTTTTGCACATCTTCAGTGTGTTAGATTACCTTCTACTTTGAGTTAGAGATAGCAAGTGGATCTTCAATTAATACTGAAATTGTTCATACGCACTAAGATTTCAATAAAAGCTTTTGAAGTTTTGCAGTCTGGATATTTAGAGTTCCAATGCTGATATACATACACCATGTCTGTCTACATTAGTTTGAAATGCCTTCTTTGAATATATGGCTTCTTTGTTCTCTGTTCTATCTTGGGTTTCTGTTATTAGCTAAAACTCCCACAAAATGATAGAAATTCCTGTAATCAATAGAGCCGATAGTTGCCAGTTATTAAAATTAAACAATCACTTGCTCATGAAGATGACTGTTGGACAAAGAGACAGGTAACTACACACAAAAAAAGATTTTCCAAGTCTGAAGTTGTATGGGTGAAAATAAAGCATCCCATTACCTCACTGTTCATGCTAATAATTTCACAAGCTTTTTCTCCAGTCAGATAGACTGGGGAAACTGGAGATTTAGGAGACCTATTGACCAGACAGGAGAGTGAAAGAACATGAACAGCAGGGAAAAACTGAAGACTCTGAACATTGATATGGACTATGACAGAAATCCAGTGAATTCACAAGACTAGTGGAGAAAACAAATGTCCAAATTGTATGAGGATATTTTAGTGTTTGGTCTAGATCAGTGCACTTCTAGGGCTATTAAATATATGTGATTGGATTTGGCAATTTTGCATAACCTGTGTGCCTTCGGAGAGCTGAAGCCAAAGGATAAGCAAGCCACAACTTCACCAAAATATCACGCTCTCAGTGCTAGTTTACCTATATGTGAGTGCTAGTTTACTTATATGTGATGACAACAGCCCTGGACATCTAGAGCAACTAGAGTGTAAGGTCTCCTTTCCCTGATGAAGTAAATTAGAAACCTAATGTTTAAGAAACATGCTGAAAAAATCCTGGAAAAAGAGTGTTGGAACCTGCTTGGGCTTTATAGAACTGACAACAGTGTGATCTAAACCAAGTAGTCCAGAAAGTGACCAGGAGAGTGAAGACACATTACCATTTTCCATTCTCCTTGCTCCTGTTCAACTGTTTAAAGATATCCAACAAGAAGTATGGTTTTCTAAATATGTGTGAGGATTTCCAGCCTCACACATTAGTCAAATCTTTATTACTTTAAAACAAACTACTCAGAACTCTCTAATTCAGCAAAAGAGGGGAATTAATTTGTCTCTTTTGTTCTTAAGAAATAAGAAAGTATCTGGAGAAGCTACTTAATGAGGAAGACAGACTAATATGGAAAGATCTCAATGCATGCAAATCCTAACTAGCCATCATGTGTAATGTTTTGGTGAAGTCTATATGAAACTGACCCTGTTCCCCTGAAAGTAGCAAGCATATTTTATACTTTTTCAATTCTTACTAGAAGATGCTTAGGATTTATAAAGAGTGATGGAAGTCCACACCAGTACTAGCAGCTTTTTAATGATCAGCTGATTTCTTTCAGTGCAAGGCAAAGAGCAAACTGAGTTCTACCATGATACTTAATGCAGCAATGTGACATAGGTTTTAAAGAATCCTAAATTCAGAAAACAGTAAAGGCACTGCTTCATGATATAGTGTGATTCACCAAAGTTTAAATAGTTACAAACTAAAGTTAGGATGCTGTAATGAGCCATGAGGAAATATTGATGATTTTGTAAGAGAGAAGAGTTTGCTGTTAGAAATACATCATGAATGTATGCTGGGAAACGGTGGTCTTCCTTACTCTCCAGTTAAAAGCTGGAATAGTAAGACTATAAATATCTAAAATTGGTTGAAGTGAAAATTTTGCTTCAAGGTGAACTGTCTTTTGCTCTTTTAACTATTTTTTAATTAACTGCCTGATGAAGTTAGTTTTAAACTGTAACAAACCAATCTTTTTGTAAAAATGCCAGAGAGGGAGAACATTTTAAAATTGTGGGTGGCAGGGGTTTACTGTGTCACAGACAAAGCAAACTTGTGAAAAATGTGCAGAGTGGGAAGGAAATCACAGGGAAGTGGCACTAGGGGAGTTTGTTATTTGAAGAATTTCTCTGTACAAGAGAAATCCTTAAAAACTCATCATGGTACAAACTGGAGGCATTATTATAAGAATTCTACAACGACTAGGATCTTGTGCTTCCTGAAAGAAACAGAAAAACTTACTAATTTCCTAGGGACATTTCCTGTTCATGTAAGTAGACTAACATTGATAATGGTGATTAGCATTACTCATCTCTAAATTGTCGTTACAATGATAATGATGATAAGACATTTAAAGAACGTCTTATCATCATTGAATATAAAGAATTATACTGGATTTGACTTTGTTTCTACCAAAGTCAATGGTAGAAATCTCCATAATTTCAGCATGAAATATCACACCCATTTGGAAGGAATGCATAACCTACTGCAAGCAGCATTTCATTGCAGTCACAAGTGGACAAGTTTGCATGGTACAAAGAACCTAGAAGAATACCATTACCTTGTTTTCTTATGTATGTCTGCAAAAAGGCATAAGTATGGCTTATTACTCTTCTGCTCTCAAAACTCATTAATGTCAGGAAGAATAAGGCTTGCTTTTATCACAGTTGTCCTTCATTTCCCCTTGCCAAATAAATCCCAAACACTGCTCTGCAATACTGTTCTCCTTAGCAGGCCATAAAAATTTTTAACCACACAAAAAAAGTAGGATTCAAGTAGTCCAATACATTTACTTTGTCACTCTTTCAGATTAGGGGACCATAAGGAACTCTGTTAAAACACACTGGTGTTTTAACAACTTCTGGTTGCTCCTGGCTTTGGAAGGAAAAGGGTATCTCTTCCTCTGTATATTCATATGATCTAGTAAACTTCTTCATTTTGTCTTCATGCTAGTATTGGGGCATTACTTTGCTTGCAGTAAGGACTTGGAACCCGTATCAGTATTTTGCATCTCTATTATATAAAAACATTTCATCTACCAAATATAATTTAATGTCACAAAAAATATTATCTAAAATCCTAATGGAATCTAAAAAAACCAATTTATTAAATAAGAGATAAAATATAAAGATATTATTTTTGGCCATCTGCTATGGACTCTAGAATATAGTAGAGAAAATAAACAAAAAATGTAGGAATATTAAAAAAGCCTACCCTGGATTATTCCCACACACCCTGCAAGCTGCTTTCATCTGCACGTCAATTGTAAAGGAATTGAAGGAATTCATTGCATCAAAAAATGGGCATTACATTCTGAAGTTTAGAACTCACCAATCCAAACCTTAATGATTTTTTGACAGGCAAAGTTTCTAAAAACCTCTTTCCATTCCATTCCCTTTCTTAAGATAGCTACCATTTTAATTTGTCTCATCTTGATTGCCACTAATGTGCTACTTGTTTGTTTACATCTAATAATTCCCACAAATGTAACAGACACAATTTCAATTACCAGTGGGAAAAAAAAAATTACATAAACCAGACTGTAGTAAGGCTCTTCCTACCACTTTCTGTATGTAGCAGACCAGATTGTTTTTACCCTGCATTAGAGATATTTTTAAGTGAAGAAAAAATCACATGCTTCCACGTATTTCAGAAGAACCTTTTCTGTGTAAATGGGATATCACAGAACAGTTCCTGTTTTCATAAGGCAGTCCTATGTGTTCCTTTTTAGATCTTCTGTCTGATTTCATTTTCTGATAGTTCACCTATGAAATTTCATTTACATATACATCTTCACTGCAATCAGCAAGCAACTTTAGAAAAAAACAAATCTGCATATGAGTTTTTTGAGGCTTTGTTTACTTACCTGCAATGAACGGAAATTGGTCCATCCTGACCAAACTGCTCTTTTGTTTTGTGCACTTGGCCTATGAAGTCAATAAATCCTTCTCCAGACTTTGGCACTCCTTGTTCAGGCCAGTCAGTGAACTGGAACTGCCTCACTGTTCGGGACTGGCCATCCTTTAAGAAAAGACACAAATAATGTACCCCAAAAGCATGTTCCAGAGGCTGGAAGTCAGTCAGCCAACAAACAGAAAGACAATCACAAAACAAGGACATTGAGACGAGGTGGGGAACAGCTAAAATCATATTTGTGAAGACTCTCAATCACAGTACTGGCTGGTGCTTTTGGACACATTGACCCAGAAGTACAGTTTCATTAACAACATTGCATAGATTCCCTTCTGCACTGGATAGGACAGTTGTCTGACATTTTGCATGCGTAAAAAAGCATGTCTGAGGCTAAAGACATAACAGTCTCACCAGGTTATACAATTTTTTTGGTAAGCTATGTTTTGAATCCTGTTTTGAAAGGACTGCAAATTCCTTTAAATTAAGGAATTTGGTTAAGGCCACCCAGTCTGACTCTCCATTTCCTAGACATGCTTATCTACTGCATGGCAGGAGTATCTTCACTGACAGTTACTGATAGTGATCTTCACTGACTTATTTAGTCATTGCCCTCTTTGCAGATGATATATTTAATAGGATGGCGCTTTCTATGAGGTGGACATTTGCCTGGAAGAAGAGGAAGCCAGTTGTTTAACAGACCATAAACTTCCCTTCAGTCATCGTAATGCCATTTGCTAACAGCTTGGATTCAGTCAAAAATCCAGAAGAAGGGCCTCCTTTTCAGGTCAGCTGAAGCTGTTCATTCCCTTTGGTTAGGAATACTAACAGGATTTTTTAAAACTGCAAAATACTGCGGCATGGTTATTTTTATAATGAAGCCACCGGAAGTATTAAATGCCAACTTCTGCTGTATGCCTATGTAATGTGTAAATTGTCAGAAAACATAAATAGAAAAAATACAATACAAATCGATGAAATAAATTTGTTCTAATTTTCAAACATTGTTCTTGATGATTTTGACACTGTCAGCCTGCACAGCTGAAATATTTAAAAGCATGGGCACATGGGCTGCTGCACTAGTGCCTCTGGACATGTTGTCTTCTAAGCACTCACTCTGCCATGTCTTCAAAATGGTTTTCTACTAAGTCAAACTCATGAAAAATTGAAATGATTATAGGAGATACCCCCAAAAAGCAACAAGTTATGCTGGAGGCAAGAACGATCTCTTTCTTTTTTTTTTTTTTATTCTACCTCAAGCATTCAGCTATTACAGACCTTTGAAATGAAATAGAAGTGATTTAAAAAAAAAACCCAAAGGAAAAAAAAATACTTTGCTTTTATGTTTCCTTTGGTACTGTGGGGTTTTGCCTCCCATGCCTCAGACAAGTAAGGAAAACAGAAAATGGGTGTGTGCGCCAGCCATGAGAGGACATACATACACATCTTTGACTTACTATCTTTTATATTCCTACTAGACCACTGTGACAATTTAGTAGCCTATTTCTGTGGAATGTTTTTGCCCACTTAAAAAAAAAAAAAAAATCTGTTTGAGAACATTTACCCAATTTTATTTCTCATGGGCATCAACACAAAGAACTAAATATTTCCTAGCAATATGGCATTTTGTTAATGCAGACTTCTCTCATAAAGGCCTCTGTGATCGCATTTTCCTTAAAGAAGACATAATGAAATTGCATCCATCAGATAGCTTTAGGCACATGACATTAATTAATCAAGAAGACAAAACAACATGTTGATTCCCTTCAAAATAACCTCACACCAAAATAACCTAAAGAAAGAAAACCGTAAGTCTGATTCACTTACAACATGTTGGTTAAGGAGATGGAAGCTCTTCAGCAATTTCTGACCCTGATAGGAATTATGCTAGAATAACAGTAACTTTTCAGGGGTAGAAAAGATAAGAAAGACACTGCTTTATTTAAGTCTAGGCTATCATTGGAAAGACCACAGATTTCTACATGCAAAATATATTTGATGTTAAATATTTGTTTTTCAAGTGTGTCTAAATAAACTGTACTGGTATATTTCATGATCATAGCAACTCTTAATCCAGTGCAACTCTGAGAAAACTGTTCTGATTTAGTTTTAATGGCAATGATTTCTGTTATTTAATGCTATTTAATGAACACAGAAGTGAAGTCAGTCGGATGTTTGACTATCGTTAAAGCATATTGAGAATGGATCTGCAATTTCTTACACAGTTCCCTTTGCTACTGACATTATAAACAGTGCTGCTTTCCTTTAATGAGATGCTTGCCAATAGCAGTCCAAATATAACTGCCAGATTTTATTAAAATCTTTACTTTTAAATATTGTGACAGTTTGCACAGTTAGTTATCAAAATATAAACTTTCAGATCCCTACATGGAGCAGAGGTTTTCAATGTATTGTCCGTTTAATTGACTGACTATTATGATTTCTTCTTGGCCTTTGCAGGGGATATTCAATTGTCTTTTGATGAGGCTGTAGAATTTATAATACTCTCTTACAGCCATCACTAATAGTTTAGCCTTAAATGAGACTGCCCCAACATATTGACCTCTGGAGTTTACAGAGAAAGTGAGTATAAAGCAGACAGAAGCAGTACATTGAAAGAGTTACCGAGGTCAATTTCATGTTACGACAATTCACAGCTCAGTTTCAGAAATAACAGGGAGTTCCACACTAGACACTTGCTGCTGACACCTACAAAGGCAGCGTGCTTCTTTTCTTGTCCCTGGAATAATTGTCTGGCTTGGCTCTGTCAGAGCAGGAACAGTATTCTAACATTATGGATGGGTTTGGAGATAAGAGGGGGAGAGGCTGGTTACAACTGCTGCAGCATTTACTCTTCTTTGAACACAACAATTTAGTTAGATGGTCTCAATTACTGGATGTGACAGCCATAGAAGTCTAACTACAGGAACACTATAATGTATATTTTGGTAAGTAGTTGCCACTGCTTCCAGTAAATTTGGAAGGAGCTGTATTATCCCAGGGTATCTAGAAAATTTAAGAGGGCCCTGTGAGCTTGCCAGTGCGCTGTTTTACAAAATTTGTACCGTCAAGGTAAAGAGATTTTTAAAATTTGAGAAGCAATTATATGGGATTGTAAGATGTCAAAACAGGACTGCCAAGGTGCATGTATGCCTGGCATTTTTTAAAAAAGGTGTATTAATATCAGGTCCAATAAAACTATTTCTGACAAATTAAGTTATTCAACCCTTTCAGACTTTTTACTGGTTTGCTAGTTGTAAGTAAACAGGTTTTCATAAACATCTTAGTTAATTATAAACTCTTGAAAGAACTTTTTAGAAATATATACTGTTTGCCCACAACTTCAACTACATCTGTGGCTTTTTTTTTCATTGTTACTTTGTGATCTAAGCTTGGTGAACTGTCATGTAAGACCTCTCCCAGCTTGAGATGGAACAGATTTTTAATAGATGAAAAACTATCAGCACAGTTATAGTGAAATTGTCTTTGACTATCTATGCCTACAAGTGTGGTTAAAGACTGATGTTAGAAGCCTGTTCTTCTCCACTTTTGTTAAGCACAAATAGGTTAGAGAAGCTATGAGTCATGTGATCCCTGCTACATTTCAAACAGAATGAAAATCAGATTCAGTGTGTCTACAGCTTCTTTTTAAAAGCACACATCTAAGTTTCATTTGCAAAATTAAAATGTCCATATGCTGACTTGGTTAGTGACAATATTGTCTAGCTAATTGTCAGTAGTACCTAATTTTACTTGAAGTTAGCATTAAAAGCAGCAGTCTAGCTACCTATGAGAAAGTCTAGTATTTTGGAAACTGACTGGCAACTATGAGTAATCATTCATGTTACTCCTGGACAGTACATCCCACTATGTTGCTTGAACAAATAGTATTCTACAGCACTTATAGAATTGGCAGCTGTCAGTAATTTTTCCTGCCATGCAGACCAAAGTAATAGAAATCAAAAGTCTGATAAATGCCCAATATATATTTAAAGTTTATGTACATTTAATCTTATATCAGTGCTCAGTGTTTTGGACTCATGAATTCAGATAAGAAATGCCATATGAAAATGAGGATGCTAGGGTCACAGCCGCATGTATCTACTCTGCAGATATACAAGAGTGCTGAAAATATGCTATGCCAAAAATCAAATTATAATGCGCAAAGCTTGTCAAGGTTTTCTTATGAATTCTATGTGCTCTGCAGTTTTTAAATCTCAGTGTATCAACCTTCATACTCACTCAGCCTAGGGAGTGGTGCAAAGTAACATATTTACAGCTGTAAGTGACAAAAATTGCCCCCCAAGATGATAAAGGGTGAAATGCGGAAAAAAGGGAAAATAGTCCTCATATCATCTAGTGTATTTCAGCACAAATAGTTATTCAGAACTTTACAAAGTTGTGCTGCCCAGATGTTAGATCTGAATGTAGTCAATTGTTCTTACACAAAGATCCCATTCATTTAATAATAACTTTATCTGCTTTTTGATTATTGCTTGTAGAATCGTCACCTCTAGGGTTTTTCTAATAATAATAAAAACTAAAAAAAAAAACCTAAAAAAAAAAAAGAGGAAAATAAAGAAATTTACATTTTCTTTTAAACTTATATGAAAAACTGTAATGCTATGTTAACTTACCCTTGCATCAGTGACCTTAAATTCCCTCAGAATATACTGTGGCATGTTGTACTCTGCCATTGGATCTACCACAAAATACTGATATCTGGCTGAGCGCTCTGCAGGCCAGTACTGGTGGCATTTTTCCTACAAAATAAAGAAGTAAAATACACTTTCTGTTACTCGAGATGACTACCATAAACTGGTATAAAATATTTTTCACTCAGGTAAGTGTAATACTCATGGAATGTGCCATTAGTGACACAAACATGAACTGTTTGTCTTGTTGCGAACATGAAGTTTCGTACCTAGAATAAAAATGATCTTCAATATTGCATTGCAACGGGGTTCTCTCTGGTCACTGTACCTCTGAACTTGTTTATACTTCTGCTCTGTTCTGTTATTTATCAGTGGCAAGAGCTACCTCTAGCCTAATTTTCAATACAGAATGAAATTTAAATCTTGGGGCCACCTTTGGTTTTCTTTCTTCCCCGTTGAAGCAAGTCCCCCTGCCTCCAGTCAGGACTATCTCTGCACCCACTAGCCATGTCCTGAACTCAATTCCCCAGATACATGGCCTGACTGAGACTTCACTTATCACATATTGGCTTTATCTTGATGTACTCCTCTCCAGATAGTAAACTGCTTCATTCTTTCCATTACACAATGCAGCACTTGAACTAGTCTCGGACTGTAAACTGCGTGCTGAAACTTTAAAGTTCAGTGCTATAAACACACAGAAGACTTTCAGATCTCAAAAATACCACACTTTCTTTTAACATTGTTAAAAACACGTGCTGCAAAAGCAAAGTTTCCAAAGAAATCTTAATTTTTCAATAGACAGAAATGCTCTCTCTACATACTTCAGAATATCAACACACAAACTAAGCTGCTGAATCTCAGTGTGTCCCACAGGAAAATGCCATGTCTAGTTTGTCTACTGCAACACATCTACAGATTGGAAAACCTTACACCTGGCGATTAAAAATGCCACAGATATTTCAAAAGGAGAAGGAACCAAAATTCTCACCTTTATGTTGACACATTCCCATAACAATGAAATATTTTAATAAAAAATCACTATAACAAATGTTTTAGTAAAGGAATATTACAGCAGTACTTACTCTGCCCATTTCTCGTAGTTTAGTGAGCATGACCACAATTGTAGAATTATGCTCCCAGAGCATTCTCCAGAAGTCTTCAGTTGTTTCTGCTAAAGGACCCTGTGTAGCTATGTAAGCTTTTTGTTGTCTATGTTGAAAAAAAAGTAAATTAAGAAAAATATTTTAATCAAAAAAGTGAATTGACACACATGTTCCCTGTTTATATGTAAACATTATCTAGAGGAAAAATTATATAATATTAATAATAAGCACATTAAAACCTTACTGTTATTGTTTAATCAAACTATGGCTTTTTATTTTTAGAACTTTTAGAGGGAAATTACTCTGTTAATATTATAATGTATGTCTTCATCATTATTACTTAAATTTTAATGCAACTCTAATAGCTCAGTTTTATGTGCTGTAAAAAACACTTAAGAAACACTTAGTTGTACTGGTTCATTTTGTAGAAATAACTGTCTAACAATCTATTAAGTTTAGGAATTATAGCATCAAGCACTTTCTTTATTAACTCCCTTTCAACAGTCTGATGCCTCCAGCTAAAGTAAGGCAGGAAGAAAATTCAGGAATGGAATGCACTGCATTTTCAGACCTTCATATCCTACCAGTGGAAGCTACCACCAAGCTGTTAAAAGCTTCTGGATCAGCAGCTTTATAAGATGATGACTCATTCCTGTTGTTCTTGCTTCTTTCAGTCAGCAGAAACACCTTTGTGGCTGACAGGGGAGATGAAAGTTGTTTCCAATTATGAGCAGAGGCTCAGAAAATGATCTCTGTGGATATGGTACACCTAAAATGCCTTAGAGAACGTATACTGCTGCTCCATCATGCTTTTTTCTACCAGCTGCTTAAGTCAGCTGAGGGCATATTGTTCTGTGTTGTCATGAAGATGCTGGTGGGCTACACAACCGTTTATGTATAAAATGCTTTTGGCAGCTAGGTCTAGTCTTAATCAGTCTTCCAAGATCATAGGCTACCACCTTGACCCAGAGAGTGTAACTCCTGTATGTTATTTCTATGTACCTTTTTAAGCAGAATAGTTGTGAATAAATAGAGGTTCCAAATAAAGAATGTGCTTAAAATCTCAGTAACTTTCAGCATGCAAAACATACTGGGAGTTCTCAATGGTTTAAAGGTAGGTAAAAATAGAATGTTCTAGACTCTATGTCAGTTACCGAATTTTCCTGCATTGCATGGGTGAAAATGTAAACTTTTTATTAATATTTTTAAAAACACCCAATCAAACATGGCATGCACAGTTAAAAACAACACTAAATTTCAATACTAAATTTTGTTTTTTTCAATATAATTACATAAATAATTTTGTAAACTTTTGAAACAGTCCACATGAAAACACATCAACAGTAGTACCTGTATCCATCAATGAAACTGGCATTAATATAATCAGAGCCTTCTACTCCTCGGATTGGCTGCAAGGATACCCTTGTAGATTCATATGGCATAATATTGACAAGGCGATTTTTGAATTTATTACATGGAAGATTGGCACTGATGAATCTTGAAGTGTGAGCCTTAGAGCTAGCAAGACGCTGTAGAAAATAAATTAAAATAATTAAGGCCAGGTATAACCAGAACAGATTATACTATCAGATTTTATGATCTCTGCTCATTATGCATTAATGAATAATTTTAATTTCAGGTGCTTACTTTTCCATATTCTATTGCATTACCTAAATATTAGTAAAGCTTCTTTTAACACCTTATGAGAGTTTAACGTCTGCTCCATTAATGCATATGGACAAGTTTGAGTATTAAACTATTACACAAACACACATTTCAAGCTATTGTAACAATAAAGGAAAAGCAGGGTTAAACCACCCTCACTGGAAGGTACTTGCCTGGACACCAATTCAGAATTGTACATTTTACAAGGGATTGTCTTCCTAATTTAAAACTTTAACCAGATGATGTCTAATCTTTCAATTCTGGAAACAACTGGTGGAGGACAGAGCAGCATTAAGTGTTACACCATTTTTTTTGGATCCCTGCAATGTAAAGTCCCAGTACCTTAAATTCCAGTTCCATTCCTGTGACATTCTCGCCTGTTTCTATCTGTGTCAGCTTCTGGATATACGCATACAGATTTCTGGCTGGCACTTCGGTATTTCCACACGTCACTGCTTCCAGCAGCGCATCGTGGATAAAGATGTATTGGTCCTCCGTTTGAACCATGTAATTCCTCTGCGCTCTCATTAGAGTTACGTGGCCATAAATATCTACTGTCTTTTCATGCTTTATTCTCTCTAACATGGCATCTATCACAATGAAACAGCCAGTCCTGCCGACTCCAGCACTAAAAGAAATGAACACAGGAGAGAAAACATGAAGGACTATTTCATCCATTGTGCTTACTTTTATGGCATTCAAGTTTTAAAGTTTCATAACACTGCTTTGAACAGCACATTTTTCTGAATATGAACATCAGCTTTTATGAAAGAGGTTGGTATCCTGAAATAGGTAAACTCCTTTAACACCCATTACAAGCAGTTGAGAATGTGGAAGGCTTTTATATGAGATCTTTGCATCTTGCAGTTTCAGGCTTGACTATAATAGAAATAAAACACATTGCAACATGTTCTAGAAAAATATGTTCTTAAAAATGGAAATTACTGGAGATGATGAATCCTCTAAGAATTCAAGCTTTATTTGTAGCATGATTTCTAACTCATTAAAAACGTTGTTGTTTCTATTCTGTTTAGAGAGGTGAATTTATTGGCAAACAAACAATGTTACAGAAAATGAGTCATATATTTCTGTTGTACTTTGGAGGTAAACTTTCTATCCCTCTCCCAACTCTGTCAATGGGGCTCCTATTAACACAATTTGTTCTGTCATCTGCTCTTTCACTTAGCCAGTCCATACTGTTTATTCTTTGAAATGCAGAGCCATAGCTAGTTAGATATGCTAGCTGTAGGCTGGGGAAATCCCCAGCTGGCCACTTCAATGTCTGTCTTGCATCTCTAGGAAAATGTAAGAAAGATCTCAAATGGCCAGAACCTGGACCAGGATGCTCAGTCACCACATTATTTCAAAGGACAGATTATAAAAGGGCTAAAATATGCTTAAAGATAAAGCTTGAAATCACAGCATTGAATTAATGTCCAGAGTGGGTGAGTAATATTTTTCAGGCACAGGCAAAGTCAGTGCTTCCTCACAGGTTCTGAGTTAAGTCAGTTGTTGGTTTTAGGCAGGAGCTGAAGTGAAGTCACATCAATCCTGTTGAGGCCAAAGAAGCTACTACTTCTTAGTTGTCGGCACAGTAGGGGATTCCTCAGGAACAACTCTGAGCTAGAAAGTTGCTTTCCCCACTTTGGTGGGACGTGAGGGTAGAAGATGACATGGGTCAGCTGCTGTAAGCTTGGCACAGGACTAAACTTTGACCATGAAATATTTAGCTGTATCTAAGAGAATTAAACCTGTCTCAGTAATAGACCTACTTAACAGCAGTTTGTTTTTATGAAACCTGTTGTCAAAATGTGCCAGACTTTCAAGGATTTTCGGTTATTCCCTCCCTGTCTTAAAGATGTCTGTTACATGCATTGGCTACCTTTAACAGCTCCTGAGGACAATGTTATGCAATCAGGAGAGGCTTACAGTTCTAACCCTGAGTGATTACTATTAGTCATACATGATCCTTTATTACCTGGAAACATTCAAGGTCAGGCTGGATGGAGCTCTGAGCAACCTGATCTAGTTGAAGATGTCCCTGCTCATTGCAAGGGGGTTGGACTAGAAGACCTTTACAAGTCCCTGCCAACCCAAACTATGGTTCTATGATTATGCCTTTCGCACAACTGAACAGGAATGATGTAGAAGGAATATGAAAAAAGACAACAGAATATACAAGACCAAAAAATATACTGAATCTGCAACTTGTGTGGTAAATTTCCTGAAATCTCTGCAGGAGTTCTTTTATGAAGGTACTTGGACATCAACTGTACTGAATCAAATCTTCAGATGGATGACTGTCTTTTTACAGTCCTGTATATGACTGACCTTTATGAAGTTTTCTTTCATCTATTTGCATACATGTAGCTATATAAAACACAAGTGTAAAATATAATGGGTTTTGTGTATCATTTTTATATCTGGGGTCTGTGACAATGAATGATAGTTTCTGGCCTTCTAAATGCTTAACCGTTTTCCGTTAGTTTCATTATGCAGTACATAGTATAGTAAGGAACAGTTTACAAATACTCAAGACTTTGACATTACCTAAGTTAAGGGTATATAAGAATTCCATGAATGGCCATTTTTTGAAAAAAGATACAAAGAAATAAAAATAATTTCAACCCAGCTCTAGAGAATAATTATATAAAAATGAAGATCTTCTCACAGTTCCTATATTTTCATGAGATATGAAATATTGTAAGTCCTGAAATTGATAATTAAGCGTAAATCTTTAATTCTTGCATGATGCTTTAAGAATCTGCCACTTACCAGCAAACTGCATTTACTTACAACCAAATCAGTAAGATGTATAGAACAGAAAGATGTTTTAGTCTCACATGAGGTAAGTTTCATTTCTAAGATTCCATATTTATATATTTATATATTTATA